CTTGTTATCTCAGATTCTCCAGCATCGACAGTTCGTACTATCTCTCAATCACCATTAGATGCTGTTTTAAGATATTTGGCAAGTGGAATCAGATGGGAGTTGCTAATTATTTTATGCAGCAAGTTATGATCTGGAATACATTACAATTAAAAGGAGAAAATGCAGGACAAAGTGGCAAGAGCAGGGGACTAGAACTAATTGGAATATTGGATGGCTGAATGTAAGAAAAAGGGGAAAGCACAGAAGTGTATCATTAAGCCCTTCAAGTCTGATTTTCTACTCCAATCTGCTTTCCAAATTTCTCCCCATGTCCCCTAATTTCCTTAACATTCAAAAAATTCATTGAGCATTTTTATCAAGATAGAAATCATTGATTATGAGCTACATCCCTCTGTGATAGGTAATTCTACACCAGGAAATTTCTCCTTGTCTCTGTCCTAAATTGCTGCTGCTTTATTTTAAAACTAAGATCTGCAGAGCCAACAAGGGACGTACACTTTCACCTTACAAAATTCTTAAAGGTCTTGATATCTATCAATTAGATCAGCTCTCATTGTTCTAAATTTGATTATCTACTTGATCTCCCCATATAGGGTAATCCTGCCATACCAGTGGTACAATTATGAGAGGAGCAAAATGCTGAAAAGAAAGCCCCAGTATTTTCTTTTTCCCAGAATTTTTTTGACTAAGTTGAATTGCTGGCAGCTTAAGTTGATCATAAATGTTCACTTCTGATTCTAACCAACTTGGAGTCCAGAGTTTGAAAGTTGGTCACAGCCCACTACTTTAGGTTTTCCTAAGTAGACAGAAATGCTGGTATTCGGAAACACTGTCAAGTTCCCAGGACCTTCAACTGAGAACAAGATTTCTGCAAAGAGTTTTATAGCTTCTCTGTCTTTATGTTGCTTCCTGTCTGTAGAACAGCAATCCATATGAACGGAGGGTTGCTAGACAAAAATTAGCATAAAGGCTCCTACCGCCCCCTTGATCATGACCCCACCCCCGACCACCAAACCATCATCTCCCAAACCATCCATAACCTCATCACCTCAGGTGACCTCCCACCCACGGCCTCCAACCTCATCGTTCCCCAACCCCGCACCGCCCGCTTCTATCTCCTTCCCAAAATCCACAAACCTGACTACCCTGGTCGACCCATTGTCTCCGCCTGCTCCTGCCCCACCGAATTTATCTCCAACTATCTGGACTCCATTTTCTCCCCCTTGGTCCAGGAACTCCCTACCTACGTCCGTGACACCACCCACGCCCTCCACCTCCTCCAGAACTTCCAATTCCCCGATCCCCCAACACCTCATCTTTACCATGGACGTCCAGTCCCTATACACCTGCATTCCCCATACAGATGGCCTAAAGGCCCTCCGCTTCTTCTTGTCCCGCAGGCCCAACCAGTCCCCCTCCATTGACACCCTCATCTGCTTAGCTGAACTTGTTCTCACCCTCAACAACTTCTCTTTCAATTCCTCCCACTTCCTACAGACAAAGGGGGTGGCCATGGGTACCCGCATGGGCCCAAGCTATGCCTGCCTCTTTGTAGGTTACGTGGAACAATCCCTCTTCCGTACCTACACCAGCCCTAAACCCCACCTCTTCCTCCGTTACATCAATGACTGTATCGGCGCCGCCTCGTGCTCCCACGAGCAGCTCGAACAGTTCATCCACTTCACCAACACCTTCCACCCCAACCTTAAGTTCACCTGGACCATCTCTAACACCTCTCTCCCCTTCTTGGATCTCTCGGTCTCCATATCGGGCAACCACCTAGAAACCGATATCCATTTCAAGCCCACCGACTCCCACAGCTACCTAGAATACACCTCCTCCCACCCACTTCCTGCAAAAATGCCATCCCCTATTCCCAATTCCTTCGCCTCCGCCGCATCTGCTCCCAGGATGAGGCATTCCACTCCCGTACATCTCAGATGTCCTCGTTTTTCAAGGACCGCAACTTCCCCCCCTCAGTGGTCGAGAACGCCCTCCGCCGTGTCTCCCGCATTTCCCACAACTCATCCCTCACACCCAGTCCCCACAATAACAACCAAAAAAGAATCCCCCTCGTCCTCACGTACCACCCACCAACCTCCGGATCCAACGCATCATCCTCCGACACTTCCGCATCTGCAGTCCGACCCCACCACCAAAGACATTTTTCCCTCCCCACCCTTATCTGCTTTCCGGAGGGTTACCACTCTCTCCGTGACTCCCTTGTCCGCTCCACACTCCCCTCCAGCCCCACCACACCCGGCACTTTTCCCTGCAATCGCAGGAAGTGCTACACCTGTCCCCACACCTCCTCCCTCCCCCCGATCCCAGACCCCAAGAAGACTTTCCACATCAAGCAGATGTTCACCTGCACATCTGCTAATGTGGTATACTGCATCCACTGTACCCATTGTGGCCTCCTCTACATTGGGGAAACCAAGCGGAGGCTTGGGGACCGCTTTGCAGAACACCTACGCTCGGTTCGCAATAAACAACTGCACCTCCCAGTCGCGAACCATTTCAACTCCCCCTCCCATTCCTCAGACGACATGTCCATCCTGGGCCTCCTGCAGTGCCACAACGATGCCACCCGAAGCTTGCAGGAACAGCAACTCATATTCCGTTTGGGAACCCTGCAGCCCAATGGTATCAATGTGGATTTCACAAGCTTCAAAATCTCCCCTCCCCCTATCACATCCCAAAACCAGCCCAGCTCGTCCTCGCCTCCCTAACCTGTTCTTCCTCCCACCTATCCCCTCCTCCCACCACAAGCCGCACTCGCATTTCCTACCTACTAACCTCATCCCGCCCCCTTGACCTGTCCGTCCTCCCTGGACTGACCTATCTCCTCCCTATCTCCCCACCAACACTCACCTTTACTGGCTCCATCCCCGCCTCTTTAACCTGTCTGTTTCCTCTCCACCTATCTTCTCCTCTATCCATCTTCTATCCGCCTCCCCCACTCTCCCTATTTATTTCAGAACCCCCTTCCCCTCCCCCATTTCTGATGAAGGGTCTAGGCCCGAAACGTCAGCCTTCTTTCTCCTATGATGCTGCTTGGCCTGCTGTGTTCATCCAGCTCTACACCTTGTTATCTTAGACCTCTCAAAGACAGTTTTTCTTTAGTAATTAAGGAATTAAACTCCATCTCTAATCTCCTTTGAAAGCATTCCTTAGCTATTCCTCCAAATTCACTTGATTTCCATTAAAAATTAGATGGCCTACAGCACACTATAAAATGTTAACTCAGTCTTCAACAAGTCACTTGATGAAACCACCCTCAACCCAAATAATTCAAAGTCTTCAAAATATGTTCCAGATAGTCCTAAAACGTAAGTATGTATTGCCAACTCCAGGAATCAATCTAACGGACATTGTGCACCCTGCAAGGTGAATACATCCTTAAGTAAGGAGAAACCAAAACTTGTATGTTGATTCCAACTCTCATTCCCACTCCTCGAAATGCATGCCCACCTACCTACCCTGAGGTCTATGCAGATTTAATTAATTCATTGTGCTACTGGACCTACTTCTCAAACTTGTTCTTTTAGTAACCTGTACTGGACAGATTGGAATAGAGCTGCTCCCAAAATTGAGACCTCATACATGGATGGAACTAACAGACGGATCCTTGTGAAAGACGATCTTGGCCTTCCTAATGGATTGACCTATGACCCCTATAGTGCATTGTTGTGCTGGGCTGATGCAGGTATGTTGAACTTAGATACAATTTCCACAAGAAACGTTTAAAGTGTGATTTGTAAAGTTAATATCTGAATTTCATTTCCTATAATCTTAGCTCTGAGATGATGAACTGAAGTCTGAGCTTCAGACAAAGTTGATGATTTAAAGGCACAAATGGATTTAAATGGAACAAAAACAAAGTTGCTAGAAAAGCTCAGCAGGTCTGGCAGCATCTGTGAAGGAAAAAAATCAGAGTTAACGTTTTGGGTCTGGTGACCCCTCCTCAGAACCAGACCATTTTAACTCCCCCTCCCACTCCCTGGGTGACATGTCCATCCTGGGCCTCTGCCAGTGTCACAATGATGTCAACTGCAAACTGGAGGAACAGCATCTCATATTCTGCCTCAGGAACTTACAGCCCAATGGCCTAAACATGGATTTCACCAGTTTTAAATTCTGCCCACCCCACCTGGCCTCATCCCATGTCCAACCCTCTTTCTCATCCCCGCCTCCTTGACCTGACACAACCTGTCCATCTTCTCTCCCACCTATCCGTTCCTCCCACCTCGTTGACCAATCCTCACCACTGCCTACTTGCAGTTGCCTATCATCATCCCACCTACCTTCCCTAGCCCCACCCATCCTCTCTGTATTTATTTCTGTGCTCCATTTCTAAAGAAGGATCCTGACCTGAACTGTCAACTTTCCTGCTCCTCTGATGCTGCCTGGCCTATTGTGTTCCTGCAGCTCCATATTGCGTTGTGTCTGACTCCAGCATCTGCAGTTCTTGCTATCTCCATTGAAGTTGTCCAGCACGTTTGGTATTGCAGCCTATGTGGATGAGAGCATGAGCAAATGGATTGTGATATTGTGGTGCAGGAACCCATTAATGTGTGGAAATGAAAAGGAATGTAGTTGTAGTTTAACGCAGTATAAATAGAGAGGATGGACATCATTCTCTGCAGCTGAAGGTAAGAATCCAAAAGGCTATGTCATCTGCCCTTGTGTAAGAGCTAATGCTTCTCCTTAGGGCTAGAGGGGATCTTGATGTGCTAGCAGAATGATCCAGTTGTGGTCCATGTGGATACCAAGGACATAAGTAAGGCAAGAAAGAGATTGTACTGACGGTTATAAACAGCAAAGGACTAAAGTTAAAAAAGCAGAACGTGAAAGGTAGTAATATATGGATTACTACTGGACCTGCAAGCAAATTGCCACAGGGTAAATAAGATCACAGAGCTGAATACATGGTTCAAGGATTGGTGTGGGAGGAATGAGTTTTGATTCATGTAGTGCTTCATCTGATGAAAAGGCCACGTTCCAAAAGCTTGTGATTTCAAATAAGCCTGTTGGACTGTAACCTGGTGTCATGCGACTTCTGATACTGTAGAATTGCATATAAATTACAGAAACAGGCTATTTTAGACCTGGTATGGTGTAATAAGAGAATTAAATATGTCATGGTAAAGAATGATCTAAGTAAGAGTCATCTTAACATAGAATTTCACATTCAGTTTGAGGGTCAGAAGTGTAGTTCTGAAAGTAGTGTCTTAAAACTTAAAGGCAATTACAAAACTATAAAAGACGAAACTGGTTAAGGTGGAATGACAAAACAGGTTAAAAGGCAAGATCATAGAGAATCAGTGGCAGATATTTTGAGTCAAAGATATATGCCACTGAAAAAGAAAAGTGTGCATTATCCATAGCTAACTAAGGAGGTTAAGGGTGGTATCAAATTGAAAGAAAGGATGCTACAAAGTTGAAATGCTGCGAAGATTAGGGGTAAAACTACAAGATTGGGTAATTTTTAGAAACCAGCAAACCAAAACAAGAAAGGGTTAAAGGGAGAAATTGAAGCTTTAGAGAACATTTGCACACAATATTAAAACAGACAGTAAAATCTTCTACAAGTATACAAAAAGGAGTGGCAAAAATAAGCATTGACCCCGTAGAGGGTGAACTGAGAAATTAGCAATGGGAAATAAGGAAAAGGCAGAGACTTTGCGCAATTGTTTGAGCAAAGTAACGGGACTAAATGCTGATGCCTTCCTGGATCTGCAAGAAAATGGCTGCACAGGTAATGGAGGCAATGGTTGTAATCATCCAGTACTGCAATGGTCATTATCTCTAATCAAGGAAGCAAAGAGACAAAGCAGGAAACCACACACCATTTAGTTGAATATCTGTTGTTGTGGAGAAATGCTAGAAAATATTATTAAGGTAGTAGCAGGGCATTTGGAAGATCATAGCATAAACCATGTTGGCTTTGATTATGGAAGGGAAATCACGTTCACAAATTCGATTGGGTTCTTTGAGGATGTAACTTACTCTCCTTGACATTCTGATCTCTGTTCCTTTCTCAGCTCATCTGTTTCTAAAACCTTCATCCATGCCTTTGTTAACTTTCGGCTTTACAATTCCAGTACTTTCTTGACTAGCCTTACATTTTCCATCATTGGACAGAATCTCATTCAAAATTCTGCTGTGCATGTTCTAACTTGTGCCCCATCTCAGTTCCCCAACACCCTTGGACTAGGTGACTTACATCTACTCCTGGTGCAATGGCTCAATTGTAAAATTTTGTCCATTTTTCAAATCCTTCCATGGCCCTGTCTCTCACTGTCTGTAACATCATCCAGCCACTACCGCTTTGAGACTTCTGTCCTTCTCTGCTTGTATCTTGTGCATCCCTCATTTTCATAGCTGTGCAGTTGGCAACTTTGGCTGATGTGCCAAGCCCCTCAGTTCTGAATTTTGCTCTCAAAACCTTTTGAGCTTCTCTATCTTTCTTTCTTCCTTTTTAGATGCTCTTTATCACCTATCTCCTGAACCAAGTGTTTGGTTGTCTAATGTTGCCTTACATAGTTCTAATATTTAATTTTGTTTCAAACAGCCTGGGATGATTTATTGCATTGTAAGTTGTTGTCATTTAGTCTTTTGGTCCATGCGATAGACAAAACTGGATCATTTTCTCTGGACAGGAACATTCAGATGTAGCTGATGTATCGCTCACTGCGCAAGCAGTTTTAGAGCATGCTATAGTTGAGAGATCTATTGGCCATTTATGGTCATGGTTTTGACCACACAGGATGAGAAATTCAAATTGGTGCCCAATCCAGGAACACCTCCAAATTCAGCCAGCAAGCGCAGGGATGATGGATGACGTACATGTAATGTTTGACAGTAAATAAACAGGCTGTGCTCTTGATTTATAAGTGCCCTGTGTGTCTGTGATATTGAAGCACTAAATCTATTCTAATAGAGGTTCAACAGCAGCAGTGGAGTAAAATATCAGAGGTTCTCCGAGGGATAAAAACCAAGTTAGCCTGTAATTTCAAAAATACTTGTAAATGTTTGGCCTAAAGCTGTGTGCGTCTCATGTTGCAGTTGTGTGACAATGTTGCTGAATAAATGCTAAAGGACCAATTTGCCATTCCAGATCATGTTTTCGTGATGTGGAAAACTGCTTTAATGTGATAGATTTTTGAAATCTCCTCTGGAAGTTTCTCAGGATTTAACTTTGATGAATTCTTGCAGTACAGTTTGCGTATTTAATGATTACTAGCTTAATTTTATTTCGATGAATGAGCTGGCCAAACTAAGCTGCGTGTGGACCATGTTTCCGATCTATAATGGGTAGCAGCTTCCCTTTAAAACGTTGACAAGACCTCTGTTTGTTCTCTTACACCCACTCTCGCTCTCTCTCTCGCCTGAGCTGTGCTGTTCCATGCGGGGTTTGTAACTGTTCATTTTCTGCAGGAACTCAAAGGTTGGAGTGCATGAACCCGAATCGAACTGGACGCAAAAGAATACTTGACGGCATTCATTATCCCTTTGGGATTACAAGTTATGGAAGGAGTTTGTACTATACAGACTGGAAAAGGTACAATGTCCATTACAGTGAAGTTTTCTGAGATTATACCAGATTGTGCCTTGAATGACATTTATACTTAGGGCACATAGACAGGCCATTGATTCAAATAGCTCCATGTTGGATGTTTGTGCTTCACAAAACTCCTTGCACCCATCTTCATCAACCCCTATCAGAATATTCTTCTATTCCTTTTTCCTTCATGCATTTAAACTAACTTACCCTTAGGGTATATCTAAGCTGTTTGTCTCAGCTATTCCTTGCAGAGGTGAGTTCCTGCATTAACCACTCTTGGTAAATGAGTTTCTTCTGAACTCTCTTGAATTTATTAGTGACTGTCGTTTGTTTATGGACCCTAATTGTGGACTCCACACAAGCTGAAACGGTTTCCACGGTTTCCTTATGTCTATCTTAATTAAGCTTTTTATAGTTTTGAAGATGTCTATTGAGTCATTTGCCAACTTTTTTTTTCCCAGTCAGAAGGAGTCCCAGCTTTTTTCAGTCTTTCCTGCATATACAAACTGTTGCAGAGGTCAAATAGAATTGTGATACCATCACAGTATATACAATCCCACCCTAATCAAAACCATGTGATTTCCAGGGAGAATCAAATGCCTGGGCCAATTTAGGAAAAACTTAATCCAGAAAATTTCTTTTTGCTCCCCCTTAACCAACCCACCAGGGATAAGTCCAGTTTTCATTTATGATTCAGCAAATTGGTGCCGTATGCATGAGACAGGGCTCTTTTCCATTGTTCTCGGGAAAATACACCTGTTGACGTTTGACCTAAATCTGGCCTTGGACCATTTAAAATTGTGACCATAATTAATTTAATTGACATAAACTGCATTTAGCATATCTTATCCTGTCACAGATATTGGAAACACCCTTCCCATCTGGCAGCATCTGTGAAAAGATAGAGCGAGAAGTAATGTTTCAGATCAGTGATCTGTCAACAACCTGAAGCATGAACTCTTTCTCTCCAAAGATGCTGACAAATCTGAGATAACCAAGGTGTAGAGCTGGATGAACACAGCAGGCCAAGCAGCATCAGAGGAGCAGAAGAGCTGACGTTTCGGGCCTAGACCCTTCTTCAGAAATAATTCTTCCTGCTCCTCTGCTGCTTGGCCTGCTGTGTTCATCCAGCTCTACACCTTGTTATCT